GCGCCCCATGACAGAACACTTTAAATTTTATCAAAAGAGGGGCACCTGGGTGGCTCAGTCGTTAAGCGTCTGCCTTCGGCTCAGGTCATGACCCCAGGGTCCTGGGATCAAGCCCCACATCGGGCTTTCTGCTTGGCGGGAAGCCTGCTTCTCCCTCTCCCACTCCCCCTGCTTGTGTTCCCTCTTTCGCTATCTCTGTCAAATAAATAAAATCTTTAAAAAAATAAACTTTATCAAAAGATTTTAAAGAAATCCAAAACTAATGGGTAGATATACCATGTAAATGGACAGGACGATGTCAATATTGTAATGACATCAGTTCTTCCAAAGTCAGAGCCACGATCCGGTCTCCGCTGCATGACATGGACTCTGGTTCTGATGGAGAGAAGGGCTGGAACGAGGCCCCCAGCAGCCAGATACCAACCGGCTAAGAGAATGTTTCGCTAGTCCAGGATTTCTGCCGGGATTGGATCCCAGCTCCTGCCTTGAATAAATTACTTAAACTCCGTGCACTTCTGTTTCCTTGTCTGTGGATGGAGATAGTGACAGTAACCTTAGATGGCTGTTGTGAAGATTAAATCATACGAATAAAACACATAAAATAGGACCCAGCACGTGATGGCACCATGTGAGATTTAACTATTACCATCACTACTAGTATCCGTGTTATTGACATTATGTTCATTTTACAGGTTCATGATGGTTCGAATAGGCAGTGGAAATAGGGAGAAGGCTGTGCGGCCAAATTCCAGGGCTGTAATGAATAAAACCTGAAAGCCGGATGTGAGGGGTGGAAGAACAGGACAACAATATTCTTTCACATCTGCTTGAATTCAGATTTTCTAGTTACAGATGGCTTCCATGCCTGTTTTCTCAGTAAATCCTCACACTGTGCCTTGGGGAGGGGGGTGGTGGTGAATCTTATGACCCATTTTACAGATTTGGGACCTAGGACTTAGAGAAATTAGGTTACTGGCTCCATGGAAATGGACAGGTTGATGTTTGTTTTGCTCACCACTCTACCTGAAGCACCACAGCATAGTCTTGCCACAAGGAGGAGGGTCTCCATAAATACTCCATAAATAGTGGGGTCTCCATAAATACTCACTGGTTAATGGATGAATAGGTCAAATGGGTATTCATTCTTCTGTTCCTGAGCACAGCAGGTGTGAGAGATGGGTCCTGTCCCAGGTACCATGGGGAGGCAGAGATTAATCAGATGGGGTCCTTGAACATGAGGCCCTCAGAGTCCACTGGGCTGATAAGCTATGTGAAAATTTCTCCACCTGAAGTACTGAATCTTCCTTGAAGGACAGGAATAACCCAAGCGCACTGCAAAAATAAGCCTTGGTCGCATTAAATCCCTGAGATTTGGGGGATGTTTGTTATGTAGCATAACATAGCCTTGGCCCTGCCTAGATACACGGTTGTTCCCAAACTTGACTAAACCTAAGAATTTCTAGAGGTAGTTGCTCAAAACCCAGGTTCCTGAGCTGCAACACAGATCTACCAAATCAGAATTTCCAGGGAAGAGCCTGGTAATCTGCATATTTAACCAGCTTTCCCCTCCATCTTCAGAAGGGTCAAGAAAGACTGAGCAGCTAAACTGGAGGGAAGGGTAGGAGTGGGGCTTCGGGATGTGAGAGGGAAGGGGTGTTCCAGGAGTCGGGAGGAACATGAGAAAAAGCATGGGGTGGGGAAATGCGGGGACTAGCGTGTCACTGGAATCGGAGTACATGAGTGATGGTGGCGTGTGCTGAAGGGGGAAGGCAGGGTAGAAGGTCTGGGCTTTATCTCACAGACAGCGGGAACGTGGGGAGGCCTTCCGAGCAGGGGCCGGACTGGTCGTCCTGATGCTTTAGAAAGGCCAGTCAGGCTGGGAGACGGCGCAGGAGGCTGGGGCATGGTGCAGGCGACCCATCTCATAGGGTTATTAGGTGGACTTTAAGAATCGCTGAACAATGAGAGGAATTACGACTGTTACCACATTGCATGTTCCTGCATCCACCTTTGGAGCTGCAGCCAGATTTGAGATGCACACCTTTCACTCATTCCTTTATTTCACAAATATTTGGGCACCTTCTATGTGCTGGGTGCCTATGTGCCATTGGAGAACCAGCCATGACCAACACACACAAAAGTCCCTGCCTTCGTGGATTTCCTTTGTCCTTATGCCTGGGTAAGGGTGTGAAGGAATATGCCATTCATTCATTCATTTATTCATTGAGATTTTTAGTGAACATCTGCTTTGCGCCTGACCTTGGTTGCTGGAGAGAAGCAGACATGAGTCAGGCCCAGTCTGGTCTCATGGAGAAGCTGACTCAGCCCACACCTCCTGAGGTTGTTTGCCTAGACTGCTGGGAGAGGCCTGAAGGGTGGTAAGTCTGACTATCCAAGAAGGGGCAAGACAGGGTCCTGGGCAGAGGGGAGATGGCACGGTGAAAGGCTCCGGGGTGTCCAGGGTCTGGGATCCCATGGTGTGGTTAAGGCTTGGGGTCTGCAGCCCAGGGAGGGAAGTGGTAGGAGAGATGAGGTGAGGGTGGTGGGATTCAAATGCCAGAGCAGCTACTGAGTGTAATCCGGGAGGCCATGGCCTGGCGGGCGGAGTCATTGGTGCAGGGGACTGATATTACCACATTTGTTTAGGGGACAATCACACTAACACCTGGGGAGAAAATGGGACATTCAGGGAAAGGGCTGCAGGTGGGGGGACCAGAGAGGAGGCTCTTGTGATGCTCCCGGTGAAAGCCAATGAGGGCCTAGACTGACCCGAGGTGGTGAGGAGGGAGAGGACCCAGGAGGCAGCTCTGGGTTTGGCAGTTGAGGGAGAAGCTTTAACACTGTGGTTTTACAAGAATAAGGTTTGTAATCAAAGGCTGCCTGCGAGAGCCCCAGCCCTGTCCTTTACTAACCTTGTGAACTTAGGTCCATTACTCAAGCATTCCAAGCCTCAGTTTCCTGATCTGCGCACTTGGGATCATGGCGGTAGCAGCTCCGTTGGGAAGATTCTAGGAGCTACTCAGCATGGCACCTAGGACGCAGCGGACGCTCAGAACATGGCAGCATTATGGGGATGGGTGAGGGAGTCAAGGTCAGGTTTCCATCTACTTTGAGTGACTGGCTGATGAGATGCCATCTCTGATGGAGAACACAGCTTTGGGAGGAGAAGGCAAGGCCATCACAGTCTTGGAAGTTCCATCAAAGCCCTGGCCTCACTCACTATAGTTACGGATTTACTCGTGTCTCTGATGACATCTTTTGCCTCTGTTGTCGGAGCCCAGCTCAGGGCTCAGGTTCCGGGTAGCTGCTGCCTTTGAGAAGGAGGATCTGACTTGCAGGTATAGATGTGGGGACTGTGGGCAGGTAGGTGCAGTTGACCCTGGGAAGCGAGAGGATAAAGAAAGAAGAGAAGGGGCGCCTGGGTGGCTCAGTCGTTAAGCGTCTGCCTTCGGCTCAGGTCATGATCCCAGGGTCCTAGGGTGGAGCCCCACATCGGGCTCCCTGCTCCGCGGGAAGTCTGCTTCTCCCTCTCCCACTCCCCCTGCTTGTGTTCCCTTTCTCTGTCTGTGTCTCTCTCTGTCAAATAAATAAGTAAAATCTTAAAAAAAAAAAAAAAAAAAAAGAGAGAGAACGCAGGGTGGGGCAGGTGGGAACCCTGATATAGAGGGGTTGTGGGAAAAAGGATGGATCTGGAAGGAGGCTGGAAAACAACATTCAGAGGCTGGGGGTGGGGGAGAGGGGAAAGGAGGCAGGAGGCAGGCTGGGAGACAAGGAGGGGAGGGTTTCAAGAAGACAGAGGTCATCAGGGTCATATGTCGCTGAAAGACCATGAAGGGTGAGGCCTGACCAGTGGCCGATGGATTTGGCACCAAGGAGGTCGACGGGTAAGTTGGCAGAAGCAGGTTCAAGGCCTGTCAGGGGCGAAAGCTCCATTGCAGGGGTGGAGTAGTTGATGTGATGTTAAAATACGGAGATGGGGAGAGGAGAGGTGGGCATAAATGAGAAGGACGGAGGGTACTTGGATCCTTCGGTGTACCAGCATTCCCTTCCCAATAAGGACGAATTTCCTTTTCAACAGTCAGAGCCATGTAAAGATAAGCCAAGAGGTCTGGAAAGGTAGTGAGCCCCCTGTCCCCGGAGGTAGACAAGCAGAGCTCTGAGACCCATCGCTGCCCGGATCGTCACGGTTAGAGTGGGGAAGGCTGTGCAAAATAAACCCCAAAACAAACAAGTCCCTGTCCTTCTCAGGCTTGGCTGATTCCTTGCATCACAAAAGCCACCTAGAGGGTCAGTTTTGCTATTTCTAGCGTCCAAAGAACCCCCTGCAGGGATACATGCACAGAGGTGGTCGTGCCTGCTCACACAGATACTCGACACCAAACACAAAATCTCCCTAGATCTCCCGGTGTAAAGGGATCCACAGCACCCCCTCCCCTCCCACAGCACCCCTTCCCCGAATTCACTCCCTTACCCCCTTTCTGCCGTCCCCCCCACCCCCAACCCAGCAGCTCGCTGCCTCCCGCCGCAGCTCCTTGGTCTCTCGGCCAATCTCTCCCTCCTTCTCCGGCTCTGCCCTTCCCCACCCGCCTCTAGGCCTCTGCACTCCCCCTCCCCGGACCCCCCCCCCCCCCTCAGCCGGACTACAAGCCCCAGGCGCCCCCAGCCCCCGGCGCTGCGCATGCCCCCTGCTCCCCGCCCCCTCCCGGCTCCCCCCTCCCTCCCTTCCTCCTTACCTCCCTCCGCCCCCCTCCCCCGCGCTTCGGCTCCCGCATCCCTCCATCCGAGCCTGTGCCGCAGCCGCATCGCCACCGCAGCCCCGGCAGAGCCGAGCCCGGCCCAGGCCCCTGCCCCTGCCCGGCCCCCGGCCCACCGCCCCCGGCCCCGCCCCCGCCCGCGGGCCCCCCCCAGCGGCTCGGGTGCCCCCCGGCGCCCCCAGACTCCGGCCTCCCGCACCGAGGCAGGAGGCAGGGAGCGGAGGCAGGAGGAGGGCGAGGAGGAGGAGGAGGAGGAGGAGGAGAAGGAGCCGTCGCAGGATGAAGGATCGGACTCAGGAGCTGCGGAGTGTGAGCTTGGGGGTGGGGGGAAAGGGGGGGCGGGACCCCAATATCGGGGGAGCGCGTGGGGGTGGAGTGGGGGGAGGTGCTGGAACATAGGGGCAAATGATGGGACGGGAGGCTGGTGGTAGGGGCACCCCAGGATCTGGAGGCACCTGATGTCTCCAATGAACCTGCATTCTGGGGACAGTGGCTGGAAGAGGTTGGAGGCCATTAAGGCTCAAGGGGGCAGGAGAGGTTTCAGGGGCTTTGCGTGCCCACATTCCCAGGAGGGCCCCGAGGGTCTAATCCGGGGATGGGAGAGAGTGAATATCAGGAGAGAACTGGAGGGTACCGTCATCCCCAGAGCAGATTTGCGGAATTGGAAAGATGGGGGCGGTTATTGGGCCAGGCTGAGTCTTGCGGGACCAAGGTTTGGGGGGTGCCAGGGGGAAGGACACAGGTTGGGACAGAGATGCCAACACCTGGCAGTGACTGAAGTGTATGTGTGTGTGTGTGTGCACGCGCATGTGTTGCTCCCTGTGGGGAGGGGGCTCCTCTCAGAGACCAGGAGGGAAGGGGTGGCCTCAGGAGACAGCCAGAGGGCCAGGGCTTGAGATGGGGTGACCCCAGAGGTGGGAGATGGGTTGCAGAGGAGAGGGGGAGGAGGCTCCATGCACAGGGCCATGGAATTGGGTTGTGTGACATGGAGTGTGCTCTGCTGGGGGGAAGTGGGGCAGGGGCAGGTCGAGGTGGGCCCCTGGTTTGCAGGCCTGAAGAGGCCCAGCTCCCGAGTCTGGCCAGGCAGTTTGTGTTCGGGTGACAGGGGGGAGGAGGGAGGCGCTGATGTCCGCAGTGGAGGCTGCCAGTTGGAGGGGCTGGCCAGTGGGGGCTTGATGAAAATGGTTTCTAGGGTCGGGAGACCGCTGGGGCATTTGTGGGGATGACCTGGGCCGAGGAGGCGAAGCTGCCTGCCTGCTGTTTGCTCAGGGCCTGTGGTGTCATGTCCATGAAGTACTAGCCCCAGCCGTGATGTATCCTGATGCACTGGGTCTCTGCCAGGAGGAGCCTGTTGGTTGTTCCCTGCTCCCAGGGTTATTACCCCATTTGACAGATGAGGAAGCTGAGGTGTGGAGATAGCAGGAGCTTGCCCAAGGTCACCAAGCAAGTGGGTGGGAGGATCAGACTGGAACCTGGGTTCCCAGTCTGGCAAGTTGACATGGGTCTCTGCTTTTTTGATCTTTGAAACAGAGGTCTCCACACTGGGGGTAGAAAGCCCCGTCTTTGGAGAGCCCCCGGGATATGGGCGAGGGAAACCAGGCTACAGAAAGATAGGAGGAAGGGGCTGGAAGATAAAGTGACTGTTGTTGTCTCCGGGGAAAGATATGTTGGCAAATGGGAAGGAAGAAGAAACTGGTGGTTGAAAGGGAATTTTCAAGGTTTCTGTATTCAACTTTCACTGAATATGGGGGCCAGGCATCCGCTAAGTGACAATAATAAAAATAATCAACCCTCTAGAGTCAGGAACTGTCCTAAGCGTTTTATTCATATTTACTCATTTTGGTCCTCGCCTCAACCCTGGTACTAGTATGATCCCATTTTATAGGTAAGGAAATTGAGGCCCAGAGAGGTTGAGTAATTTGATCGGTCACAGAGCCAGGAAAAGGCAGGCAGGCAGGCTGGCTCCAGCACCGTGCTCTAAACTCCCCTTCTTTCACCAGGCAGTTTTCAAAGCAGGCTGCCATCCATAATCTCATTAGCCCCTCACTGACCTCCTGGTAAGGTATGTAGACTGAGAGACTACCTCATCTTATAGCTGAGGAAACTGAGGCCCAGAGTGGTTAAATAACGTGCCCAAGGTCACCCAGCTCTCGAGTAAGGAATGCAAATTTGAACCCAGATCCCCTGCTGCCAACACTATCCCATGACTCCAAAACCCAGAGAAAGGGAAAGCGGTTTGAGGTGAGGTGGTGGCAAAATTGTGGTATAATTAGAGAGAGAGGGAGGGAAAACCCTAAGACTAAGATGGGGGGGCAGGGCATGGCATCCTCATCCAAGTGGATCAGGGAGCCCCTCCGCCCAGAGGCAAGGAGTTCTGGCTGCTGGGGCTGCAGGGGGTGGGCAATCAGGTGGGGGAGGTGGGAGGTGGTGTGGAGGGGTAAAGGGGTCTGGGTAAATGGCTCTGGTGTTAGTCACAGCTCAGGGAGACTGGCGATTTGGGAGGGGATGGGTAGGGCGGAAAGAAGGTGCCAGATGCAAGGAGTGCAAGGGTCTCCCCACCAAAGTTGAGAGCGAGGAGACTGGGAGGCAGGAGAGACCAGGCAGGGTAGGGGAGAGGCCTGCTAAAGAGGTCTCTGAGATGCTGAGAGGGATGGGGGGTAGTGGCGGGAGGGGACGTCAGCTCAAGGGAGCTGAATATCTTTCCAGCAGTACTTTAGAGTTCCCCAGGGGTTCTCAGATCTGTTCATCCCATAGCCGGTGAGGGCACAGAGATGGGAGTCAGACTGTCTGGGTTCAAATCCTAGCTTTGCTACTTCCTGTGTGACCTTGGGTGAGTTTCTTAGCCTCTCTGGTCCTCAGTTTCTTCACGTGTGAATTGAGAATAATAATAGTACCTGTTCGCAGGGTTGTCCTAAGGATTGAAACTAGGTAATAGGCAAAAAGTGTCCAGAAGGAGCCTGGGCACAGTAGTGTCCTTGAGTGTTTGTTATTCTACAGCTGACTTGCTTTTTTCCCTTGAACCTCACATCAGCCCCCTGGGATGGGCAGGATGTGACCCCTAATTTCTTTTGGAGTAGATTGAGGGCCAGAGAGGCAACCTGACCAAGGTCATACAGCTGGTAATGGCAGAGCTGGTGTTGAAACAGGGTTTTCTGTTTTCCAGTTCACCAAGGACCTCTGGGCACGAGCTGGGAGGTGCTGGGCTGGAGTGGAGTTCATCGGGCCGGATTGGTGTCCCAGGGCCCAAGGGGCGGGGCCAGGGACGGGGCTCAAGAGGAGAGAAGGGGGAGCAGGTGGGGCAGAGAGGCAGACTGGGGAGGGAGAGAGGGAAGCGTGTGGGGTCGCGTTGTGGACTGTGCAGTGGCCTGGGGGGTGGGGAAGGTAAGGCCCGTAGTGAGGGAGGCTGGAATTTGAGGCCGGGTGGGCGTGGGGGCTGTTATGGGACAAGCCACGCACCTGAAGGCAGGAACTGAGTCATCTGGGTAGCACTCAGGTATGGGCGAGGCACAGAGAGGGCTTTAAATGGTACCCCTGAATAACAGCAGGGAGGGGTGACCCGCGTGAGTGCGCAGGGCCCGGCAGAGCCCCGGTGACGGGCTGTTGTCCCCCAGCTGCACAGGGCTCCTTTCTGCCATCGCAAACCCACCGAGTTCAGCCCTGCTTCGGGGCCTTGGCCCTTGCTGGTCCCTCTGTTTTGAATGCTCTTCCTTCCACCCGGACCGCTGTCCCCTCCGCCTTAAATTCTGTGTCAGCAAATGTCACCCACCCCCGGAACGGCCCTCCCTGACCATCCTGTAAAGGGCCACCCCTGATGGCCGCTTCTCTGTCTCACGTCGGGTCCATCTCCCCCCTGCTAGTTAGCACAGACCCAAACGGTCTCGTTGGTTCTCCCCCTCCCTCAGCTACTTGGAGGCAGGACCTGTGTCCTGTCTTGTCCACCACTGTGTTCTCAGAAGCAGCCAGAGAGCTTGGCTCAGCTCATGCCTCTCCGCCAGGTGAATGAATGACTCAGTGGGGCAGAGGGAGGACGAGGAAGGGAGTAGGTGGGTAAGGAGGGAGGGCAGACTGGCATGGTGGGGGTGGGAGGGCGGAAAGGCCCAGTCAGGGAGACAGATGGGCAGGAGCAGGGGTGCGGCGGACAGAGGCTCCTGCCTCCAGATCAGATGACGAGCTTGCGCCCCCGAGGAGAACATGTGAGCACGCGTGTGCTGTGCGCACGTGTGTTTACACACACACACGCACTCTCTGACTCTTCTGTCACCCAACACCAGGCTCTTTCTGCCGCTGTGTTAGTCACCTCCTCACCAGCTGTCTCTGGTCCCTGACTTGCTGGCTCACTGTGTCCCTCTCTTTCCATCCACACATCTGTCTGTGTTGTCCCCCCGCACCGGCGCGCCCGAGGGCCCCTGGTATCTCTGATGGGAAAGACTGCAGCGGGAGGCTTGGATCTGACGCCCCCGATGCCCAGGCGGAGCCACAAGGTGCCCGGGACCCCTGCAGTCTCTCGTGTCATTCTCTCAAGCGCTTGACAAGCTGGTGAGCAGGGAGAGCAGAGGGCCTGGGTTCGAACCCAGGTGCCACCCTGTCAGCGCCCCATACAGTGCCTGCTCTGTCATCTTGGGCAAGTCACTTAATCGCTCCATGCCTCAGTTTACTCCTCTGTCAAGTGGGCATAAGAATCGTATCTGCTTCATGGAGCGCTTATAAGGGTTAAAGGAGACACACAAAGCCCTTGTCACAGGGCCCAGGTCACTGTAATCAGTACACACGTGTTAGATTTCTTATCTTCTTCATTTTGCACATGGGGAAACTGAGGCTTGAATTGTCCATAAAGTGGATCGGGGGCATATGATCGTCTTTTTCTGGGTGATCTCATTTGCCCACAGCCTGCGTTCTTTTAGGCTGGCCAGCTTCTTCCGGAAATGGAGGCCGCGCTCATTATTAAATGTGCACCCCTCAGAGCAGTGCCCTTGGTGCACTGGCCTGCCTTTTCCGTAGACGATCTGGGGCGCAGAGAAGGGCTGAGATTTGCCTCGGCAGATCACAGAGCGGGGCGAGGGGAGGTAGAACGCCTGGCCTTCTCCCTGGGCTCTTCCTGCAGCCTGGCCCGTCTTCCTGGCTTTCTCTCCCAGCCGCAGGAGTTCAGCAGTACTAGGGACAGGCAGAGCGGGACGGTTGCGGGGGGGAAGCCTGGGATTAAGCACTAGGCAGTTCAGGTCCCACCTCTGGCCTGCTTTGCTGTGAAACCTTCGGCAGGTCAGGCAACCTCTCTGAGCCTGTTTCCTCATCTGTAACACGGGAGGGGCAGGGGGTCCTAGCCAACCCTCACTAAACACTGCGTCTTTCTGGTAGCATTAGGCATTTTTCCTGCCTGGTCTCATTGCCTCCACCTACCCAGCATTTGGGCAAACGTTATTGCTGTTCAGCCAAGGCAGAGGCTGAAGCCCAGAAGGCAGAAATCGTGTGGCCTTGTAGCTGCTAGCCTGGGCAAGTTCTTTAGCCGCTCTGTGCCTCAGTTTCCCCATCTATAAAAGGGAGCTATAATAATACCTACCTCAGGAGGCTTTTGTAAGAATTAAATGGACAGATATATACAAAGGGCATAGAATGGTGCCCAGCTCATGATCACATGTATGTAAATGTTTGCCATAATTATAATTATGCTGCCCAGTGGTCCTTATAGGGTTTAAAGAAAGATTCAATGAGATAACGAGGATGTAAGACCCATGTAGAAGATGCTGTTTTTTTTTTTTTTAAGATTTTTATTTATTTATTTGAGAGAGAGAGAGAGAGAGAACACGAACAGGGGGAGAGGAGCAAAGGGGCAGAGAGAGAGAAGCAGGCTTCCCGCTGAGCAGGGAGCCCAACGCAGGGCTTGATCCCAGGACCCTGGGATCATGACCTGAGCCGAAGGCAGCTGCTTAACTGACTGAGCCACCCAGGTGCCCCGAAGATGCTGTTAAAAGATATTTTCCTAGGATTACAGGGCACGGAGCCCCACCAGATGGGGCCTTAGCAGGAGCTGAGCTGAGAGGGAAACAGCTGTGGCAGAGCCCCTGGAAGGAGGTGGCCTGGCCTCGAGCCTTAGAAGGGGCTGTGAGGGAGTCTATCGTAGATGCTTGTAATTTCCAGCCCATTCAGCCTAGGCGCCCTTGGACAGGTCACTTTCCCTTTCCTCCCTCTGACCTCCCGTTCCCTCATCTGTGAAATGGGGACAATGATATTTGCTCGGGCTTTCCTTTCAGGGCTGTGTGGTGAGGATCAAAAGGGATTAGAGATGTAAAAGTGTTGGTGAACTGTAGAGGATTATTAGCTCTCAGCTCCCTGTAATTATTATACCAAATAAGTCATACTTGGGCCTCTACCTTTCTTCCTTTCTCAAGGACAAGTAAACAGGCAGCCAGGGATGCCCCGGGGCAGAATCTAAGGGAACTTGGCTCTGGGGACAAACAGGAGAGAGAGAGGGAAATTAAACTTTAGAAAGTCGAAAGTCAGCCTGGGGACGAGGCGGAGAACAGGAAAGTTCCCAGGCACCCGGACCAGAGAGACGCCCCATGACCTGTGGGCAGCTGGGCAGGGGGCCGAAGTCAGAGAAGGGGCAGAGGAACAGCTTTGGCTCTAGGGGAAGGAGACCCCGTGGGGCAGCTGGCTTGAGGACAAGGCATCAGGGTCCTCCAAGGTGAGCTGAGCCTCCCAGAGCCTCTGGGGGCCAAGGTCTATCGGCTTAGCCCTGGGTCTGGTGGAGACTTGAGAAGCCAGAGGCCCTCTCAGAATACCCAAGCCCCACCTGGGCCATCTCTCCTTCCGAGGGCAGCTGTGGGCAGAGACAGAGGAGCCTCCCTTTCCCAGTGGATGTTTGGGATCGTCTGGAAATTAAATGGAAGCGCTGAATACATTTTCTGCGGTGCGGTGGGACCCAGCGTCTGCGGGGAGAATCCCCCACGTTCCGTTTGGGCAGGAAGCTGGGGGGGCATCGAGAGTGTGCAGCTGGAGGGCTCCCGCAGGCTTGCAGGCTCCTCCTGGGGCTGTCGGGGCTCTGCTGATTCCGAGTTCACTTGGCTGCCTAGATTGCATCTCGGTCCCATCTGGCTCTGTCTAGGTTCGATCTGAGCTGTCTGGTGGGATCTGTCTGCCTGAGTAGCTGGGGCTGAGCCTGTCTGGTTTCTGGCAGGTCCTGTCTGCGATCTGCTCGGACCCTGTCGAGGTTCCATGGGAGCTCCTCTCTTTAGATCCCAGCGGGCTATGCTCCAGGTGGACACTTTCGGATCCCGTCTGGATACCATTCAGGCTCCGGTAGTCCGATTCCGTCCTGTTTGGGCTATAGGTTCTTTCTGGAAGTCAGGCTGAACTCTGTTTAAATGTCCACTGGGGCTGATGAGGGCTCCGCACGTTAATTAAGCTTGCCGGGCTCAGCTTTTGTTCTCTGACTTCTGCCCCAAGTGGAGAAGAGCCTCAAGTCCGGAGCGTGCAGCACTGGGCAGCCCAGTCCACCCCCACCCCCCCGCCGTCTTCTTACCTGGCCCTGAATGAGTGTGCAGGCCTGAGGCTCGGGGAGCCCGGGAGAACAGGCCCACAGGGCCCTCTCGAATGTCCCTGGGGGCGCGGGGACACATCTGTGGGGCCACGCAGGGCAACAGGCAGCTTTGCCGTGGGGCCGAGTGTGGGTGAGCGTCAGCGTGTCAGTGTATCTCCGCGTGGGTGTCAGTGGGCCTATTTCTGTGTGCCTTGTGTGTCAGCCCTTCTGTCTGTGTCACTGGTCTGTCTGGCGGTGGCGGTGTGGGTGGGTAAATCCCTTTGTGTCTCTGAGCCCGGGGGGTGGAGGGCTGAGCCGCAGCAGGTTGCAACTGGGAAATCCAGGCAAGTGAGAGTAGGTGGGTGTGAAGTTGGGAGAGGCTGGATGAAAGCAAGTGAATACATGAGAGGGGCAGAGCAGCAGAGGGGGTGAAAGCAGGCGGGAGGAGGCAGGCACGGGGAGCCAGGGGGGTCGGGGTGCTGCCTGTGTCTCTCCTCCAGCCCCCCTGGGCTTGACTGTGCTTGCTCAGCTCGGCACCTGCTGCTACCAGTGAAGTGACCTCGCACAGGGGACGTGGCCGGTTGGGTGGAGGCTGGAGGGGAAGAGAAGGGGAGCAAAGTGAGGCCTGGATAGGAGCGGCCAGGGAGACAGCGGCCAGGGTCAGCCTCCTGGGCCTCCACTCCAGACCCCTGCCGGGAGCCCAGAGCCGGTTCCTGCAAGGCTGACATTTAGCTGGTGGGGACGAGACCGGTTAATGGCAGTTGTCCTGGGTGTCACCCACCTCCAGGGTGACTGCATTCTCAGGTCCACTTCCACCCTTGAAAGGGTGCCTTCTGCTAATTCCCTCCAAGGTGTCCTTTGGGCTGTCAGCTGCCTGGCCTCCGGGACCCTGTTCCACAAGATTTCCGGTGTTCATTCGGACCGCTTGGGGCCCTTGCATTTGCCCTGCGAATGACCTGCCCCCTGCAGATGACACCTCCTCAGACCCCTGCTCTGAGCCTAGAGCTGGGAGCATCAGGCTCAGGGTAGGATTCTGCCTTTCTTTGCCTCCCAGGCGAAAGACAGTGATGATGAAGAGGAGGTGGTCCATGTGGATCGGGACCACTTCATGGACGAGTTCTTTGAACAGGTAACGGAGCTTCCAGTGCTCCCAGACCCAGAAGCTGGCCCCCGGCCAACGACTCCCTTTGCCCTGTTCCCACCCCTGCTCCCCACTCCTACCCCCTCTTGGCCTTTTACCCATCCCTCGGCTCTGGCCCATTTACCCGAACCCTGACTAAGCCCTCAGGGCCCCTTGCCTGGCTCAGCGACTTGGCTGGGCACAGCTGATTTGCTGCCCCAGGTGGAAGAGATCCGGGGCTGCATTGAGAAGCTGTCAGAGGATGTGGAGCAAGTGAAAAAACAGCATAGTGCCATCCTGGCCGCCCCCAACCCAGATGAGAGTGAGTACCGCTGCTGGGCAGCTGCGAGGGGGATGGGGGCAGACAGTGTGCGTGGGGGGAGGGAGGAGAGGGGGTCTGGGCTCCCATCCAGACTTCTCATCTGCTCTGGCTCTCCCCTCAGAGACCAAACAGGAGCTGGAGGACCTCACTGCAGACATCAAGAAGACAGCCAACAAGGTTCGGTCCAAGTTGAAAGGTGAGGAATGCAATCCCCAGACTAAGGAGAAAAACAACTCTGCCCTCATTAGACCAAACATGTCTTTCTGTAAGGAGTGTCTACAGATTTCCAGGACCCAGATTCCTAAACAGTGAGAAAGCACAAAACCCCAGATTCCCCCCCCCCGCCCCCCGCCCCTTGCTCCAGATTCTTTGGAGAAAGATACATGGCAAAGAAATGAGGGAGAGGAGGGTTTCTGCCCAAGTTGCATCTGAGCGCTGCTGGATCCACCAGCATGAAGGTCCACCAGAAGAGAGAGTCTTGCAAGTGGCTTCGGTTTCATTAAATCCTTATTTCTCCAGAACAGTTGCCGGGCATAGCGCTAAGCACCCAGTAGGTGGGCTCAGCAAATGCTTCTGAACTGGTATCCTCGGCTCAGGACAGATTGGACTGTGTGGCTGACATCAGGAGTTGGCAAGCTTTCAGGAGGGACCTGCCAAATCCTTATGTATTCGCTCTAATTTAAGGACTTGGGTGCTGGTAATAACCACCTTCCCCCAAAGCACTGTGGGTTGGGAACCTCCTTGTCTGCGGGTGCCAGGGGAATAGCAGTGTTACCGTGATGTGGTAGGTTCAGTATCAGAAAACATTTGCCAAGCACGTACTTTGTCTGAGGCCCACTGCGGGGCACTGGGGAAAAGGTACCATGTCAGGTACCTGGCCTTGGCCACACCGACCTGGGTCCAGAGAGTTGAGAACAGGGACTTCCCGGACTCAGTGGGAGGTCATGTGTGAGCCTCCAGTGCTGACCTGTAAAAATAAGCCTTCTACACTTGTATCCTGGAAAGGAAAATGACTTAAACTGGGAGCACATTAAGTACAAATCCAGGCAGAGGGAGTTCAACTTCCATCATCAACTCAATTCTGGACAACTTCCATCATCAACTCATTCCTCCCCTCGGCTTCCTCACTGGCACAGTAAGAAAAACAGAAGCAACTTCAAAGCAGGCTTTTTTTTTCAAGGGGTAGCAATTTTTTTTTTTTTTCCTTAAATGAAATCTTACAAAGAACTCCAATATATACAATACATAAAAGACAGGCTGTTCTGGCTGAACTGGGGCTGGGAGGCCCAGGGCCCTACCCAGCTGGTCTCCCCTTTACTCCCAGCAACAGCCCCTGAGGTTCTTTCCCAGAAGCAGGGTTCCATGGAACACCGTTTAAAAATCCCTGAGCTTAAAGACTTCTTTGGGCCCACCGAGCTTTCACCTTAACACTCTCTGTAAGACCATGAGGTGGGCTCCACGGATTAGGGGTCCGGGAACAGACCAAGAAGGAAGCTAGGAAAAGTAGCAGTGACATAGAGAAGCTGACCTTCCAGACCTCCAGAAAAAGAGAAGATTCTCTTCTCCCCCATCTTTCTCCAGCTATTTGGTGGCATGAGCTCAGGCTTTGTGTGTGACCTTAAGTGAGTCGTTTTCCCCGTTTTCCCCAGTTGAACCTCAGGTTCTAGTGTGATCCATGGGCTGATACCACTGAACTCTCAAGATTCTTGTAAGAAGTCAATGAGACCCTCTAAAGGACCTTCCACTGCAGGGTTTGGCTCCAGCCCCAAGTCTGACGACAGGGTCCCTGTAGGGGCCAGAGGTTGCGACCTCCCTGGGTGTGCTGTGCCTTCCTGGCCTTTCCTGCAGCAGGTGGGCCAGGTGTCACTCGGTCACTGTGCCCACCACTGCTGGCAGGGGAACGTTGGGGTGCTTTTCAGACCCCAACTTTTCCCGCTGCCAGCAGAACAAAGAAGTGATGTTCTCAAGAATGGCCTGGAGCCCCTTCCAGGTCTGGAGGGCCTGGTGATTCATCCCTGCTGTATTTTCAGAGCACTGTAGATCTTATCGCAGGCAAGCTCTTTTTTTAGAAAATCTGAAGGATAGATGTCAGGAGTGCATGATCCAGAAGCAGGAATCCCAGTTAATCTGTGCGCTTTTCCAGAACATCCTTTAGAAGTGGGAATTCCCGAAACAGAGATCACCTTCCAGGGCTTGGGGGGAGAGCTATTTTTTGGCGGACATCCCTCCCTCCGCGTAGAATTTTCCAAGAAAGAGGCGGCCACTAGAACCTGACCCACCTGGAAGTGCCTGCCTTCCGCCAGAAAAACCGCAGGATGGGTTCCTGCACTCTTTCCAGAGGCTGTAGGAAGTGGAGAGTTCCCCACGTACTGGAGACCCCCGTGGGGTCAAGCAGGAGTTACAGCTGTGGGCCTTTCTAAGACCTAACCCCTCCGCCAGGACAAGTAGCCCCTTTCTGCCTGGTGACCCACCGACCCTCATCTCCCCTCCCCCTGAAACACCTGTCCTCTATTCACCCGCACCCTGGATCCTTTACTGTCTGCCCTCGCCATGGGTGTGACATCTCTTCACAGGCCCGGGGCCTGCCTCGGGGTGTCGACCCTCCCCACGTCCCGGACCCCCGCCCCACAGGCCCCGGGTCTCCCGGCCGGTCACTGCACCCTCCCTCCCGCAGCAATCGAACAAAGCATTGAACAAGAGGAGGGGCTGAACCGTTCCTCCGCGGACCTGCGCATCCGCAAGACCCAGGTAGGAGGCCGCGGCCTGGCGGGGCGGGGACCGGACCGGATCGGATCGGACTGGGGAAGGAGCCCGGGAGGGAGCCGCGAAAGGAGAGTGGGCGGGCCAGAGCGGAGCAGGGCGCGGGGCGTGGCCAAGGAGGCGCCTGGGCGGGGTTCTGGCGGGGGGCGGGGCCGGGCCATATCTCCGCGCGTTTGGCGGGGCCGCGGCACGCTAGGGGGTTGCGGGAGGGCGCGGGGGCGGGGGCGTCCTGGGACTGAGCGCTTGTCCGGGGTTGGGATCGCGGCGCGAGCTGAAGAAGGGCCGTAGGCCAGCTCAGCCTCTCCTCCCCACTGCATCCCTCCACTGGCCTTCTCGCCCCGCTCTGTCCCGGCCTCCTGATGTGTCTGTACCCCACCCTAGCACTCCACACTGTCCCGGAAGTTCGTGGAAGTAATGACCGAATATAACGCGACCCAGTCCAAGTACCGGGACCGCTGCAAGGACCGGATCCAGCGGCAGCTGGAGATCAGTGCGTGTGCCCCGCTGCAGAGTTCCCAGGCTTGCCCCAGCGCTCTTCCGTGGCTGCCCCGGGCCTTCCGTGGAGGCCTAAGGCCGGGTGGGAGGGTGGGCTCCTGGGTCTCTGCCCCATCCCACTACCTCAGGCCCCCAGACTGGCCCAGTCCCTGAGCACGGAGGCCTTTCTCCCCACAGCTGGAAGGACCACGACGAACGAAGAACTGGAAGACATGCTGGAGAGCGGGAAGTTGGCCATCTTCACGGATGATGTGAGCCCCGGGTGGGGGTGGGCCTGGCTTTGGAAAACATTTACTTCTCCTCCCTCCCCGAGCTGAGGTTGAATTAAGGTCCTAAGTCCAACCTGGAATCACAAACAGTGGGAAGTCAGGACCCGGAGCTGGGGATTTCCATGGGAGCAGGGCCTGCAGGAAGGCACCCCCATAAAAATGGTCAGCATTTTGAGTAGCCAGACACTGTTCTAAGCACTTTTACATATTTACACGTGCCTGCTATCTCACTCGGTCCTCACCACCAGCCTCTGAGGGAGCCAGATTTCACCAATGAGGACATCTGACCCAGAGATTCACCAGAGAGGTTAAATAAGTTGCCCAAGGCCTCAGAGCCAGGATTCAGATCCGCCGTCTCCTGTCACTTAGGGCTCTGACGTCTGCCTACTGAAGCAGGTCATTTCACCAAATGACTAACTTGCCTACATTATGAAATTTAAAAAAAAATACCAGTTTTAGTTTTGCTAAAGTTTTACGCCCTGCCCTGCCCTTGTCATCTTAAATGTGAGTGGATGGGCTTCCCCTACTGTAGTTCTTCTTTCTCTTTGTAGATTTTGCCTTGGCCTGCCCAGTTCTGTCTCTGCTTCTGATGGCAGAATGGCTCTGGTTAAGATTTCTAGACCAGAACTCGAGTGTCTTCAGTGACTGGCAGTTTTTAGCAAACTGTTACTTAGAGAACTGATCTTTGTTAAATTAGCTTTGAGCAAATTGATTAGGGCCAGTTAGCCTGGAGCCCTCCCAAACAGCTCTGCCCAGGCTTCTGTCTGAGAACGGAGGGGAGCCTGGTGGGTTCTAAGACGACAGATCTGATCCCTGCCAGTGAACCCACCATCATTACAATGGAAACCTGTCGTTACAATGCAGGGTGGTTGGGATCTTGCCTGAGGGATGTGCATCCTGCAGACAGGCTCTAAGGTAGTGGTTAACTACTGGAGCCAGGGAGGGCTTCCTGGGGGAAGTGGCATTGGGCTGTGCTTTAAGAAACAGGGAATATTTGGACATGGTGAGCTGGGCGAAAGGCCCACTAGAGAAAGGGAACAGATTGAACAAAGACAGGGAGAGAGGACCACTTGCCAAACAGCCACTGGATGATTTTGGCTCTTAGCGGATATGTAGGAGATGAAGCCAGAAAGGGAGAACGAGCCCCGGATAGGGTGAGGTGTACAGCCTGTGGTGGTGGTGGGGGAGCAGGGAGGAATCGTGGGGAGCCCTGGAGGGTTTCAGAGCAGAGGAATGGCTTGATGAGGTCTGAACAGTGAGCAGTTTGGGAAGCGAGTGGCCTGGCTCAGGCCAGGTGTGTGTGGGGGGGACAGGAATATCCGATTGTGGGTTGGAGTTAATCTCTCTCCCTGACTCTTGAGGGCTGCGGTGCATTTCTTTATTTCTCCCCTGCCTAATGTCATGGGGGCTCCAGAGTGGGCACACTGCCTTCTCATCTGGGCCTTCTCTGCTTCTACTTGCTTTCTCTGCTGGGTCCTCTGCCTTTGACCAGACAGGGGCCCCCAGTATTAATGGTGACTCTACCCCCCCCCCCCATTGCTCTTCCCTGGGCTTCCCTGGTGGTGTGTGTGTGTGTGTGTGTGTTAGAGGAAGCCCTGGGTGAGGTGGTGGGCTCAGGCCAACTTCTATTTCTTGTAACTTAACAAACTTCTCTTTAGTGCTTACTGTGTGCCAGGCAGATGCTGTTCTGATTGGTGGATACATAGTAACTCACTTACCGTTCACAAGAACGCTGGGAGGTGGGCACTGCCATCATCCACCTTTTCCAAGTGGGGAAACTGAGGCCCAGAAAGGTTAAACAATTTGCCCACAGTTAGAGCTAGTAAATGACAGTCAGATTTGAACCCAGACCCTCTGGCTGCAGAATCCAAACTGCTACGGGAGTGAAGGGGGCTCTGCAGCTCCTCCCCTCCTGCCCTCCACCCTATTGCCCTAGATCAAAATGGACTCACAGATGACAAAGCAGGCACTGAATGAGATCGAGACGAGGCACAACGAGATCATCAAACTGGAAACCAGCATCCGAGAGCTGCATGACATGTTTGTGGACATGGCCATGCTCGTGGAAAGCCAGGTACAGCCTCTCCCCCACCTTCTAGGAGCCTCCTGCAGATCCCTGGGGTGCCCCCTCCTCCAGCCCAGCCCCCACCCCATCCTATGCACATCTTCTCTGCAGGGTGAGATGATTGACCGCATCGAGTACAACGTGGAACATTCCGTGGACTATGTGGAACGAGCTGTGTCCGACACCAAGAAAGCTGTGAAATATCAGAGCAAGGCCCGGAGGGTAAGAGGGTGGGGGGTGACGAGTGGGCCGGCGCCTGGGGGTGGGGGGCAGTGGTGGTGGGAACAGGCTGGCCTTGGGGGAGGCGAGCAGGCCTGTGGATGGGGACAGGCAGGCGGGGTAGGTGGGCTGGAGCGGAGCGCTTGGGGCTAGGTTCAGGCCAGGGCTGACCTGAGTGTTGAAATCCAGAGGGAGGCCTTATCTCTGATCTCTGGCTCTGACCTTCCTTTTTCTGTTTTCTCTCTCCCCTCCTCTCTTCCCTCACACCTCCTCCCCCATCTTTCCCCCCCATCTGTCTGTCTCTCTTTATCTCTCTCTCTCGTCCTTCTTCCCTATCAACCCTTTCTGCCTGCAGAAGAAAATCATGATCATCATTTGCTGTGTGGTGCTGGGGGTGGTCTTGGCGTCATCCATTGGGGGGACGCTGGGCTTGTAGGCCCCCCACGCCTGTCTCTCCCAGACCCTTCCCCCACCACATTGGGAGCAATACCCCCACCACCCCTTTCACTCCATCCCCTGCTCCAGGCTCACCCCCGAGACAGACCCAGGCAGCCCCCCTTCCCCACCTCCTGTCAGACCCTGGAGTCCCTGGACCTCACCCCGCCATGGACCACCCCCGGCCCCGCACGTAGATAGCAGCAGGCGTGATTACACATGCACACCAACATGCATGCCGCCGGCACATGCTCAAGACGTGTGGACACCCCAGCGTGTGTGTGTGTGTGAGTGTGTCCGTGTGTAGATGTGTGTAGAAGCACCAAATCACCTTTCTGGCCCCCACCTCAAGTCTGTGTGTCGTCTGAGCGTCCCCCCTTCACCTGGCCTGTCCTGTATAGACTGTGGCCAGGGGCCCACCAAGCCCCGGTCTGTTTTCTGTGAATAGGTGTGTGTGTGTGTGTGGCCACAGCTCCACGGATGCCATCGGTGTACGTGGACTTCTGTGTCTGAGTGTTTGGATTCGGTACAACAGCACTTCCTTCCATGACCCCCGCCTCCGCCGTGCCTGCTCTAGAGACGGCGGGCTGTGAGTGCACGGGGGCTCACACTCGCATTCGCGGACGATCCAGGTCAGCCCCGGTGCACAGAGGCCATGGCAGACACCCCGGTGTGATGTTGAGCAAACCCCAGGGAGTGTGTGTGTGTGTGCGTGTGCGTGCGCGTGTGCACGACGTGTGTGCATTGTGAGCCTGTGGAGTGTAACCAAGGTGAGTGGAAGCATACACGTACCCGTAACCCAGCTCAGCCTGTCTGTACGTGTGCACTTCTCCCAGCAGGTAGTGTGAGGAGTGCGTGTGTGCGTGCGTGTGTGCGTGCGTGTGCGTGTGTGTCCAGGATGTGCTTCAGGTGTTGGTAGGTCTTGTCCTCAGACGGAGCCCTCCGTGTTGGGTGGGCACAAAAAATCTGTATTTCTGTGCTATGTAGACTATGTCTGTGTGTGAGTGTGTGTGTGTGTGAGTGAGTGTGAGGCTTTCTACATAGTGTGTCTCTGCCCGCCTGTGTGTCCTGTGCACACGTGTGTGCTTCTTTAAACCTGTGTGCCCCGTCCCGGGTGGTTCACCCAGCTGTATTTGCCCTCTCCCTCTCTCCCCAGAGCTGCTGACCAACATCTGGTGTGGCCTCACACCGTTCCACCAACACTGTGCAACTGGCGCTTCCTGCCCTGCCAGGTCTCCGAGCCCCCGTGCACACATGCCCACGTGCCAGTCTTTTCCATGTCTCTGCCAGAGGGTAGCCCTGCAGCTGGGAGAGCGGGGGTACGTCCGTGTGCTCACACGTGCCCAGGCCGAGGAGGCCCCGCGCGGGTGCCCCCCCAGCCCCGGGCGCGGCCATGTCCGCCGACGCGGCCAAGCTGCCCACACGCCGGTGCCGCCTGGAAGGGCTCTTTGTGGGACGTGTTACCGGTGAGGGGCATGTCCAGGGCTGCCCCGGACCGATTGAAAAGGAGGGCACTCGCGCCTTGCACACGTTTCCCGCAGAACTGGGAGAGGCCAGGGTGTGTCTTCAGCCCTCCCTTGGAGGCCCCGGGCTCTGCCGGTGTGGCGGCCTCCGCCCCAGGGGAGCTGAGTCCCGGGACCCCTCCCCTGGACACATCTCCTGCTAGATGTCGGCCATGGCTGTCCCCGACCCTGCCCCGGGTGGAGACTGAGGTGGCGCACGGGCCCGGGTGTCTGAGGGCGAGGAAGAGGCCAGCGCCTCCCTCGCTGCGTGGACCACACCTGCCCGAGGCACGGGTGGGTTCGCGAGGCTGGTGGCAGGCGGGAGGTGCCTGAGCCAAGGACCCACGTGGACGCGAGTGTATACCCAGGGCTGGGCGTGCGTGTGCACAGGGTGAAGGGGTCGCGTACGTGTGTGCAGATTGTTTCCCAGGGTCCCGCTTCCTGTGCAGTGTGTGTGAGTGTGAGAGACACAGAGACAGGGAGCCAATGCAGATGTGGCCTTCCAGAACACAATACCCCTCCCGCCCGCCCCCCCCCCAGCTCCTGTAGCTGACCCCTTCCCTACCTGAGCTGTCTGAGCCCCGCCTGTGTGAGGCCGGTCGTTACAGCCCCCACGGTGGGCTCTCTCGACGAGGGGAGCCTGCCCGTCCCTTCCAAGAATGTCCTTCTGCAGGACGGGAAGTTTGCCCCGGCATCTAATTACAGCCCTCGTGCTCCCATGTCAGCCACCTTTGGGGACGTCAGAACGGGCCCCGGCACCCCCGCCCTTTTCCCTTCCTGCCGCCGAGCCAGGACGGCCTTGCAGCCCCGGTGTTCCCGGAATTCCCACAGCCCTGGGGCCACGAGCGCGAGGGCGGAGCCGCGGCTGGAGTGTTGCCGTGGCCTCCGTGAGTGGTGTCAGGCCCACGTCTCTGGGAGGATCCCCGAGGGGCTGCTGTGCCGCAGCTTCTTCAAGTCCCCACATCATGTGACGGCCGCTTGTCGGCTGCTGTGTCGGTGTGTGTCGTGGACCGTTGTCTGGGGGCTGGTGTCACGCATGTTCTCGGACGAGTGTGTGCGGCTCTCCCTCCACGCACCTGCGACCCCCAAGCCCATGTGTGCCCCGTGGGTGGCCCTGGGCCTGGCCGGGCCTCGCTGCTTTCCTGTCCCCCCCCCCCCCCAGCCCTGCCTCTCACGAAGCACACTGCGTGTCCATCCCATGTGCCTGTCGGGCGATGCACGCTCTTGCCACGCGTTGAGCGTGTGTACATGATGTGTTCTATGCATTCGCCCTGTCCCCCCAGCCCGCCCCGTACAGGACAAGATGGGTGGCCCCCGGCTCCCCGCCCCCCCCCCCCGGCCCGCTGTGCAGCCGTGTGCGTTGGCGTGTGTTTCCGTGTCGCTGGCGTGTCACGTGACGTAGCCGTGTTTGCTGACATGAGCCCTTGCCCCTTCTGTTTCTCCGTTGGTTTCTAGAGTTCTTTCCCTCTCCTCTCCGGAGGGGACAGGACTCCTGGGGCCTGGCTGGGGGCCCAGAGCCAGGCCACCCTCTCCTGTTAGCCCTCAGAGTCCCATCTCTCTCTATTGGTGACCAAGTTGCAAATGGATAAAACACAGGAAAATTCTGCCCCCCCCACCCCGCCCTGCATGTCCTGTCCCCAGAGCCCCCCCACCCCCACCGCGGGCCGGGTTGGGCCCCGTGGGACGGGAGAAATAGCAACCAATCCAACAGCGGGCGTGCTGTGTGCTCACTTCCTTCTGTCTCCACATGGGACAGGCGCCGTGGGGAGGGGGAGACAGGGTGGGAGGCAGGAGGGGGTAGCGGACAGGTAGATGGACACAGGCTTGGGTAGGGAGCTTTAATCCAGGGCTCGGCCATGTACAGCACAATATTGTAGGAACTAATTTGGGTGGAGCGGGCAGAAGAAGGGAGAATGCACAGATCTGCTTAGGCTTCGTTGAAGAGAAGAGAGGGCTGTCTAAAGGTGATAAATATTTTTAAAAGAACGGGACTATGACCCCCAAGGAGGGCCAAAGGTGGTGGGAGGAGCCAGAAAGAATCTTCCCGCCGAATGGAGGCCCGAATCCAGGCCTGGACCTCAGAAGGCCAGCACGAAGCCCGTGGAAGTCCTACTCACTTCCTGCTTGAAAAGCCAGAAATGGGACGGGGTGGCTGAGATCATCAGGGGCATCGGACATTTGCCCACCAGCCGTCAGGCCTGGGTTGAGAGTGAAGACACGCCTGTCCCAAAGCCCCGCCCTAGAACTTAGAGGCACAAGGACACCGACTCAAGGCTCGTGGATGCGACACGGGGAGAGCTGTAGGGACAGCCAGGCTGGCCCCAGACCCCTGCTCCAGCTCCAGACTGCAGCCTCCCCCCCCCCCCGCACCCCCCCTCCAGGGTTTGAGGGCTCCGGACCCGGATGGATGCTCCAGGCCCTAGCTCCACCGTCACTGGGCTGAACCCTCCATGGCCCGCACCCAGCGGATGGTGCGGGTCCGGCTGTCCTCCCACGAGAACAGGGGCTCGTAGCCGAAGTGGCGCTGAGCCTTGTCGGTGCTCACGGTGAAGGTGGTGTTGGCCACGGCCAGTGTGTAGGGGTTGAGCAGGGGCGCGTAGAGGAGCAGCGGCCGCAGCAGCCACTGCAGGAGGGCGTTGAGAACAGCCAGGAGCATCAGCAGCCAGTAGGGCGCCAGCAGGCGGGTTTCCACCAGCCGCAGCCCGCAGGGGCCCAGGAACTCCATGTTGAAGTCCTCGTAGCTCTTATAGGGCGACTCGTCGTAGCAGAAGTACACCTGGCCGCCCACGAGTGCCGCTCGCCGCTCCAGCTCCCGCGCCACCAGCACGTGCATCCAGGCCACGTTGCCTACCGGTGGGGGAAGGGAGGCGGCTGTGGCCCCGAGTGCCCCGGAGCCCGCGGAGAGGCTGCCCTCTCCCGGGCCGGCCGGTGTCCAAGCCGCCCCCCCACCCCGGCCCCCGCCCCCGGCTTTGGGCTCACGTGCACGCGCCCGCGTAACTACGGCCCTTGTAAAGGCTGCTTTCTCCCCAGCCCCTGTAGCCACTTGCCCTCCAGGGCCAGCCTGGGTGGAGGCTACTGCTTCGGCGGCTCCCGTGCGGGTGCTGCCCCTGGCCTCTCCCGGGGAGATGCGGCTCCCGTAACCGCGGTCCTGTCCGGGGCCCGGGACCTATTTCTTCCGTTCGCCTTCCCAGCTCGCACGGCCGCCGCTTCCTCTCTGGTCGTGCAGGCAAGGCCCGCGCATCCGGCTGCTCCGGCCCACGCGTGGCTCACCCTTCGCTGGCCGGGGGCGCACACCGCCCACCCAGGACGACGCGGGCCCTGCCCCGTTCTCAGCCTCCCCGCTGTGTAGCCGGGGCCTTACCCACATAGACCCGACCGTGCTCCACAGAGGCTGGGATGGCCCGGAAGAGCCGACCCCCCAGGCGAAGGCCCTGGTGGTAGAAGTCCCTCATGATCTGGTGGCCCTCGCCGTAGATGCCAGTGGGACGCAGGGCACACGTCACCAGGGGCAGCCCCCCACGGACCTGGGGGCGAAAGGCAGGCATGGTGAAGGCCCAGGACCCGGCAGCCTGCCCTCTGGCCCGGCCCCCTCAAACTGGAGATGGAAGGGAGGTGCCCAGGGCAGGCTGCAGAGAAGTCCCGCCGGCACTGGCAGCCCTCCCCACCCCGGCTTCGTGTCTCGTCGCCTCCTGTCTCACCTCCCTTCCATTGGCTTCCAGGACCAGCCGCTCAGCTTGGGCCTTGCTGCAAGGATAGGGGTGTTTGTGGACTGCTTCATAGGGGGTGTCCTCATTGCCCCTAGTTGAGAGAGAGGGAAAATTCTTAATGCTGAGGGGAGATGGGGCTCCTAGAGTCTTGAGGGGAACCTCAGCTTACCGGTAGAAGGGGTGGCCTTTGATGTTGGGCCCCACAACTTCCATGCTGCTCGTGTAGACCAGGAACCGTGTTCCAGTCTGCACACAAGCCTCAATCACGTTCTTTGTGCCTGGGAGAGGTGGTGGGGAGGGGAAGGGTGGACCCGAGCTACAACTTCCTCCCTCTCTGCATCTTTCCCACCCTGCAACTCAAATCTGGATGACGGCCCCGGGCTTCCTTCCCCGGGTCCAGGGAAAACCACAGCGGGGCTGAGGGCCGCCGGACCCGCAATTACGGCGGGGGCAGGAGTGTCCAGAGGAGACACAGGAGAATCCCAGAAGTCAAGGTCAAAGAGGGGGTGGGGAACAAGCAGCCACCTCACCCTGCACGTTGACCTCGTGGATGGTCTTTGGGCTGGCCCGCCCAAACACATCCACCAGCCCAGCTGCGTGGATGACCACGTGGGCTCCAGCCACAGCCGCTGCCACCTCGTGGGCCTGGGTCACATCCCCCTGGATGGTAGTCACCTGCACGGGCCCTGGTAGGGATGGGGACAGCCAGAGGCAGTGTCAGAGCTGGGGCCGCCGGCCAGCTGCTGGGCTCAGCCTACCCCCTTAGGAGCCACATGTTCCCAAGGTGACTCATTCATCCCATCCATGTGCACTGGAAGATATAAACATGCATCATCTTTTCCACCCCGGCCAGCGGAGTCCGCCCACCCCACCCTCGCGTCCCTCCCCACCATGGTCACCTGTCTTCAGCTCCTCCAGCCAGGGGCCCAGGTGCAGGTCAAAGACCCGCAGCTCCGAGAGCCGGGGTTCCCGCTGCAGAAGCATCCGCACCACATGCTCTCCCAGGAAGCCGCAGCCACCTGTGACCAGGTACACCAGCTTCCGGACCTCTGTGGACTCGGCCATGCCTGGCTGGGGAAGAGAACCCGAGCTGCCTGCCCCCGCATACCCGGTGCCGGCGGCACACCTGTTACCCCTCGCTGCCGCCTCTGGCCTGGTAGGCTCCCGAACCTGCAGCTGGGGCTGCAGCAGCCAGGCTACCTGCCCTCTGAGCCTGCCAACTGCAGCCCCCGAGAGAAGAAGGCTGAGGGCCTGGCGTCTGGGAAGGGCTCAGGGGCTGAGCTGGAGGGGGTGGTTCTGGGACAAAAATGGAGGGCAGGAGGTAAAGAGCTGAGGAAGAAAGGAGAGGGAGACGGGAAGGGCTGTGACTAGGGAAAGGGACCTTGGGGCCCTGGCATCACCTCGGCCTACCTGCAGCCACGCTCCCAGGATACCCAAACTGGCCACCGGACGGGCCGTCTTCTCTCGACGCCTGGGCCAGCCGGCCACCACACCGTCCCCTTCCGCTTGCTCCTCCTCCCTCCTGGCCCATTCCAGGAACAGACACCAACCCAGCCTCCACCCCTCCGTCCCCAGCACTCTTGCCATAGGGCGCCCCCTGGCGGCCACTCTGCAGTCCGCTGGCAGCTGGTTCCAGCAAAGAACTTGGGGAAGGAGGCTGGGGAAGCCACAACCTGCTGGGTGGGCACTGAGGACGGAGCGGGTGCAGTGACCTCATTCCTACTGCATGACATCAGTCCTCCCCTCTTGCTGGATTTCCCAGGATGCCAAAAGCCCAGCAGCAGCTGTGGTTCTGGGAAGGGAAGGGAGGCCGACCTTGGCCCAGCTCCAGCTGACCTTGGTGGGGGATTTCTGGATGACCATTCCAGCCTAATAGGTGGCCCAGAGCAATGGTGGTTGAGTCTGTACGTCTACCCACCCCAAACCTCAGGCCACCCATTTCCCCCTCTCTTCACTCAACCCATCCTCTGTCCTTAAACCCCCATCCCCCACCTACTCTTCCCCAAAGATACTGACCAAGCACTTTTGTACAATAAAGTTTAATCACAATTATAAAAATGTGGCGTTGGGTTTGCGCTATTAACATATGTACAATCCAGCCCAACAGGAAGGGCCCACCCCCCACCATCCTGGCCTGACGGAACAGGAGCTTCCAGACGCCAGGGTGGGAGGGTGACCCACAGGGTCTGGCAGGAACAGAAGATGAGGCAGGGTTCCAGGCACGGAGTCCCTAGGACTGGGGGCACAGGGCCCCCCCCAGGGGGAGAACATGGCCACTGCCCCTAGAGACCCCTAAACTGGGGAGGGGTGCACGCAGGGCACAAAGGGGAAGTCCCCATTAACACAAAGCAAAGGGGCTAGCAGCCCCCCAAGAACAGGATCTGTACAGGCCGGCACCCCAGGTTTCCACAGGAAACAGCTGCTGGCAGCTACAAAACATTTACAGCTTCTTCTCCGCAAAGAAAAAAAGTTAGGGGGTGGGTGGGCAGGGGCGACGGGGCAGGCAGACGTTGCCTCAAGGAACTGAGGCTCCCTCACTGGGCTCGGGGCAGGTGAGGCCTGCGGAGCCCCAAGGGGAATAAATAGGGGCGCGGGCACCCGTCCTGCCCCTCAGTTGAGGGAGCCTCGGCAGCTCTCGGTGCCGCACAGACACGGGATCTTGTTGTCCTCCAGCGGGAACTTGTAGTCGTACGTGATCTCCTCATCCACACCGATGGGCTGCTTGGAGTAAATCACAATCTTCTTCTGGGACTCGATGGTGATCACCTTGGCATAGCAGTTGGGCTGCACAGGGGAGGGCAGTGTGAGCCGTGGCCCCTGCCCCGGGATCCCCGCCCCCCACCCCCGGCCGGGACCCCCCCACCCCACGCACCGTGCAGCAGTGGTTGATGAACCTCGCCAGGTTGCCGCACTTGGTAGCATCGATGATGGTGTCGTGGTCCACCCGGAACAGGTAGCTGCTGCCGATGCCCTCCTGCACGTAGCGCTTCTCCCGCATGTCGGCCACCATCTGGTAGAACGGGGCGCCGCCACGGTCAGCTGCCAGCCAGACCAGGCCTGACCCCACCAGCCCCCATGAAGGGGCCCCGGACAGTCCCCAGCTACCACCCTGGGAGCCACATCGACCTGTCCTGGACCTGCAGAGCTCTTCCTCTGGCTCCCACCAACCCAAGGTGCTGTCTGCTTCCGGGAGCCCTGTCTCTTAGGGTCCCCCCCCCGGCCCTGCCCCGGATACCTTTGGCTGCCATTCTGAGTCTCCCAAAGGGCACCTCGGGGAAGTCTGCAGGGGTCAGTGGGCAGGAGCCCCTGCCTGGCCCAAAGTGGGCAGGCCAGTTCCCGAGATGACAAGGCCATTTCAGAGGCTGAACCCTACTCATCTCTTCTCCTAGGACCCTCTCTCTTCCAAACAGGCACCCACAGGCTGCCACTCGGCGCCATAAGGGCCCACAGTCCTGTGCGAGGAGTGACTCCTATTTCCCAGAAAATGGGACGCTCAACCCTCTGCTCTCTCTCCTTGGGTGATCTCACTCTCTTCCACGGCTTCAGCTGCCAGATAAGTGCTAGGGACTCCTCCCCAACTTCCATCTCCAGCCAAAATCCACCTCGGTGGAGCTGCTGGGCGTCATCCTCTAGATGTCCCCGGGGCCTGGCAATGGCACGCGTCCCCGACTGGAACTCCATTCGACCACACAGCTGCTGCTCCTCCTCACTGCCCACCTCGCTGGCAGCCCGAGCTACGTCCAGCTGCTCCGAGCAGTGCTGAGAAATGGCCTCGCCTCCCCCCGGGCCCCGCTCACTGGAGCCAGCTCGTTGCCCGTTGCTGCCAGCTGCCTTGGACCCACAGGCTCCTCTGTTACCTCAGCTGCCACTAGGCTGCCACTGCCTAGTCCGGGCCACCTGGGCCTCTATGGGATCCCTGTGACAGTGCCCCCGCCGGTCGTGGCCTCCGGCTGTCCCCTCACGCTACAAAGCCCGTTACCACTGGGCGCTTGGCCACAGCCTCCCTCCCCCTACAGCCGGCCCCAGCTCACCACCACGGCTCCTAAGCTCCGCGGAATCTGGCCTCCACCGGCCTCTCTAACCTTCACTGCGGCCGCCGGCCCTGGTTTCTCCAACTAGCCATACTGACCTCCTTGCCCTCCTCAGACTATCCTGTCTCTGGGCCTTTGCACACGCTGTCTGGCAACTGGAGCACCCCTCCCCTCATCTGAGTCTGGGAGTTCGTCGTCATCCTTCAGCTCCTGGCTTCCACATCACCGTGCGCCCACCGCTGCGGCCTCCCCGAACTTCCCCTTCCCGACCGACCAAATGCCATCGTTCGGTGCAGTTCCTTGTGCAGCGGCTGTCTTCCCCCACTGAACTAGGAGGCCCTTAAAGCGAGAAAGAGCACTGGTCTTGCTTCTTCCTGATCATTCCCATCTAGCTTAGGAGTACCCATTACTAACTGTTGATAGAAGGAAGGAAACACAAAGAGGCAGGTTTCACCAACTACATCTTGGAACCGGGAGGTCACGTGGGGCTTTACCCAGAGATGAGGTGGTTCTCATGCCAGTGTCCCGTGCGGCCATCTGACCGGGGGCTGGGTACAGGGCCTCACCTGGCGGATGTTCTGACCCACGTATTCGATGACCATCTCGTCGGCTGCAATGGGCTCCATGGCAAACAGACCCCACTCGTGGATCCGGCTGCGGCCGAACCGGAGCTTCTTCTTCCGGAACTAGAGGGCAGAAGGCAAACGGTGCTGCTCGGTGCCTCCCTCAACCTAACCCCTTGCCTTGGCCGCCCTCCTCCGAGGGGAGGAGTGAGCTTTTGGCCCCGTGCCTCCACGCCCCCCCCCAGGCGACGTCGTGATGCCGCCCTCCCTCCGAGCCGCTCTTCCCCCCCCCCGAGTCCCGGCTCCTCACCTTGAGCTGGTTCAGCTTCAGCAGATCACTGTCCATGATGGCAGAGGTGCCAATGGCGCTCAGCAGCCGCCGCTGCTCAGACCGGCGCTCCGAAAGCACACGGTTAGTCCCCTGGGAGAAGCAGGACGGGGGTCGGGGGGGGGAGGGGAGGTGAGTGAAAGGAGAAACCACGGGAAGAGATGCCAGGGGGCCAGGTACCAGGGCAGAGCCTTACCTGAGTGTCCGCTCCTTCCAGCTGCCGGGCCGAAACAGGGCACACATCCAGGTACCTGTCCTTTTCCTTCTTGCTGATGGGGTAATAGCCTTCACTGCGGGCTGAACCTGTCTGGTGCTCACGGGGCCCGTCCTGGGGCCGCCGCTTGCGTTTTGGAGTGCTCAGGTTGGTGAGTGCAGCGTGTTAAGGAAGAAAATGGGTTCCTCACTGGCCAGATCCCCGGGGCCCTCTCCCCTCTATCCCCCCAGTCCCAGCCCAAGGAAGGGGTGACTGACCTTAGCTGGAGGTCCCAAGCATTATTTAGTGTGAGAAGGACAGAAAGATGGAGAGAAGGAAGTCTCAGACCTCACCTTTTCTGCCAGAAAACTCTGGGAGGCAGAGAAGGGGCAAGAGGCAGAAAGAAAAGAATGGCCTGGAGACCAGGTGAGAAATACCCAGGCTGGCCGTGGCAGAGAGCAGCGGACAGGGAGATAAACCCAGAGGCTAGCTGCAACCTGAGGGGGCTCCTGCCCCCACCACTGAGGCCTGCCCTCCGGTCCAGAGCAGGCCGGCCGCGAGGGCCCAGGATATTGGTGTGATGCACCCAGTGGGTGTCGTTAAGCCAGTCAGCCCCGCTTGTCTGCTGCAACAGCCGCTCGTACGTGAGCCGCAGGTAGCCCATGTCCTCCAAGTCCAGGCCCGAGTTCCAAATGTCATACAAGATGGTCATCTGCTCAAACTCACTGCGGGGCTCGAAGGTGGGGGGCGGAGGGGGCGGAGGGGGCGGGGGGGGCCGCCTGTGCCGGGCATGGGAGCGGAGGCTTCGCCTCCGCACGGCGCCCCCCCCGTCACTGCTGCTGCTGCCACTGCTCTCCGAGGACTCGGACTCCTCCTCCTCCTCCTCCTCCTCCTCCCGCTCCTCCTGCGGCGGCTGCCGCTGCGGCTGCGGCTGCTTCGGCTCCTCTGCCTCGGCCACCACCACCTCGGGGGCCTCCAGGACCTCATCCGCTGGGGAGCTGAAGAGGGCGGCGGGGGCAGGAACCGGCTCCAGGGGCCGAGGGGCCGGTGTGGAAGGCGGCGGCTTGACGGCCAAGGCGTAGTTGTGCTCCAGGAGGATGTGGCTGAGCAGGGGGCCCGCGCGCTCGGCCTCGTCCAACGTCTCTGTGGCCTCCGAGTCATCGCGACGGGCTGGGGTCAGGGCCAGGTCGGCCAGCACCGCCAGGTCCACTTCTGTCCCTGGCTCAGCTTCCTCCTCCTCAGCAGAGCGGCCGCGGCCCCCAGGCCGGCTGCGACCTCCTCGGGACACCTCCTCAGGCCAACTCTTAACCAGAGACGCATGGTCCAGGGGCAGGTTTCGAATGGTCCGCTCCACGGCCCGGGGGGCTTTGCGGGCAACGGGGCCAGGAGACTTGATCTGCGGAGGGGCAGCTGGGGGCGGCTCTGGTGCCGGCACCTCCTCCAGGGCAGAGAAGGAGACAGTTTTCCGGCGT